CCTTCAAGCCGTTGARCATYCGCMTTGGAAGCATTAAGCAGGTCTGAGTAGCGCTTGGCCTGACTAGAGTGTTGTTCGACCGATTTGGAATGTGCTTCCTCCATCTCTTGGATCCGTTGCGCATGATTGGCCTTAATAGTGGTCATGTCTGATTGGTGTTGTTGCTCCCTGTCAGCTCTGGCCTTCTCATCATTGGCACCATCCTCCATCCCCTCGTCTTTGTCTATTACTCCTGTCTCCTGTTTTCGTTGCTGCTCCTCTTTAAGACTTTCAAGCTCGCTTGTCAGTCTTGCAATCTCTTCGGCTTGCTTCTTCAAGTCCACATTCATATCTGAGTCCTTCACCGAGGCGTCCATGCTTTCTGTGAGAGTATCTCCCAAGTCGGTAACCTGACGCTTCAGGTTCATGTTCTCCGTTGTAAGGTCCATGATAGTCTGGTCCTGTGACGACTTATTGCTGAGACACTTTGCGTGCAGAGCTTGCAACTCTTGCAATTGTACACACGCTTGTCTAGCTGCCGTCGTTTCAGTGACCAATATCGTAGCGTTCGCTTTGGTGACATTGAGCTCCTCTCTGGTGGCATTGAGCTCCTTGCTTCTGACAGTGAGCTCCGTTTGTGTGGCAAAGAGTCTTTGTTCCAATTCGCGAATCCTTGTCGTTGCTTTGTCGCCGCTGGTGTCAATGTCAACCCGATAATCAGCCGCGGTGGAAATGGCTGGAGCGGGGTTTCGGCCAACTGCAGCCTTGGATGTTGATGTTGTCGTGGAAGAGTGTACAACAATGGCATGATTGGGGATGGATGTGTCATCTGTATCAAGAAGAATCTCCACATCAGACACATCATCAGCAGAGCCGTCAGAGTCATCGTGGTCGTGGTAATCATCAGCATCTGCGTCGTCAAAGATATCATCATCAATATCAAGGAGGTCACCATCGGTGTCGGTGTCACTCTCAGTCTTGTGGGCACAATCAAGGGATGATGCGAGTGAAGGAAGGTGGCGAATAATTGGTTGTATTTAAATATTAATATTATTATGATGCTGCGCACGATGGGCCGGCCAAGCCAATTGCCACGATGTATGTATGATTGATGATATCATACCTTTGTGTCGTCGATGTCACCACTGGAGCTGGGGGCAGATGATTGGATGCGTGAAGATGTAACACGACGCTGTGAGGAGCGTGGAGGACGGGTAGCAGCCTCAATCCTTGTCATCATCTTCTCCATCATTGATAGTCTGTCATCGAAGCTGCTGGTGGATGTGTCCACCACCTTGATTTGTTTTGATGGCTCCTCTTCTTTATGCTCATCTTGGATCTGGTTGGACGCGTTGACATCGTAGAGGTGGCGAATAGTTTGGCTGATTTGGGTGTACAATTGGTTGGATCTGTTGTAATAAATGATACACTTTGCTGAGCTTAGTTGATAAAGACTATACTGTGACTGAAGTGAACCGATGAATGCCGCAGGAGTGATAGCAGTATTAACGTCCATTAGGCATGTGTCCTGCTCACCACCAAGAAGCCATGAAGTGGCCGATTTGGTGACGTACGACGTGACGGAGCTGAACACGGATGTCATCGACTTGCTGGATTGTCGACCATTGCCATTAATGTGTGTCGTGTATATCTTCATCAATGCCCTTGCCATGATCTCATCACTGCTAGGAGTGCGAGTGAGTGATGTGTGTCTAGACTTAAATGCGCCATCTAGCCTATGATTGGAGATGAATCGTATTGTGAACCGCGTGGAGACGATTTCAATGTTGTCCTTGAACACTGAACAGTAGATGCCATCCAACTGCTTGATCTTTGGAAATGGTGATGATGCCGCGCCACTGCTACTCTCACCACCTTTGATGATTGGGCTGAGTTTGATTGTACCGGCTGCCATGGTCGTTGTAGTTGGCTTGGTCGAGGCCACCGCCGCCTTCATGTTCGTATACAACATGTATGAGTAATCCTTGGGGTCATACACGATCATTATATGCTGACCTTCCAGAGGCATAAGATCGTTTGAGAACTTGATGAACGCGTCCCTCTCTCCTGCTGGTCGGGTGGTCTTTGTAGAAGACGAATCGCTGGTGGTGCTACTCTTGTTGCTAGCACCATAGAACTGTTGGGCATAGACTGGCGTGTTTGAAATGATGAGGCAGTTGTTGTTTAGGATGTACGTTGAATACACCAGTGTTTGCGATGATGATGTATTGGTGGTGGTATCGGGCACGACTGTGATTGTAACCTCAAAGTAGCAGTTCTTTGGGAAGCCGAGTGAGTAGTTTGCCTTCAAATCACGACCAAAGTAGGCAGGCAGCTCTTGCTTCTGGATCACTGAGCACATCGAGTTATGATCTTGATTGGAGGCGCTGATGGCGCGGTCGACCACTGATGCCATATCTTTAAGTTGGTACTTGGCTTTGTTGTTGTTATATTGATTGTTGATGCGCTCGATCGGTGGTTGATTATAGTTGGCTCCTACCACTACATCACGTGTCAGACTGGTGTCGAACAACATCTGAGCTATAGCAAGGACTGCATTGCTGCAATCGGTGTGATCGCACAAACTATAAGTAGATCCGTTTGAGCAGAGTGGTATGACCATTGAGAACACCTGAAGATACTTGGTGGACGTCTTGATGTCTACTGACTGTTTGCTCAAGGGAATGGCCTTTTGTCTACACTCGTCAAGTATGTGTTGAATGTAGATGAACTGTTTGATCTTCTCCCAGTCCAGTGCGCCACCTGAGCCACCAGCTGCGACCGCTGAAGGTGATGATGAATGAGAACTTGTCGATACACTGTCAATGTGAAGAATGTACTGTGGGCTTGCATCCTTCACACCAACGAGGGCCAGTGAGTGATGATTGTTGTGGAAGAGTGGAATTATGATAAATGATGTACCAATATCAAAGACTGGCTGAGTTGTCTCGAGGAAGGTCGCAAAGAACTTGTGGCGAAGTGTTGTTATGCTCTCAAAGTGGAACTCGGAGATGATAGGATATGTAAAGCTGTCTAACACTTTGACTCCATTATGTGCATGGTTTGCGTTTGTGTACAGCTGATGGATGTGAGAGAGGTAGAAGTTGTTGGTGGAAAGTCGCACATGCGATTGCTGTGCTGGTGTCATGGCTGAGATACCGTTGTTGATTGGTGTTGTAGGCATTGTCATTGATGTCAAGGGGGCGGCGGAACACTGGTCCTGTCCATAGTGATACATGGTTGGGTGGTGCTGATCCAATGCATGCACCACGGGGAATTGGAAGGTTTGATAGAAATCCTCCAATCGCTTGGGATCGTGCTGATTCGTCAGTTGATGTTGTTTGGCATAGTCGTGATGAACAGGATCAAAACACAAACATGAGCTGTTGCCTCCTGTCGTCGTTGGTGTAGCAGCTGTGTCGTAGATATCCTTGTTGATGCTGACCGTAATGCTAGCACCTGAACTATTCGGGTGCAGGTCATGTATGATTGAGGTATGACGACCCTGTGATGTGTACCAATTAATATATTGTTTGTTAGAGAAGGAGAACAAGGGGCGGGTATACAACTCATCAATCACTACTCAATGTAAGTAGATGGGTAGGTACCTACATTTTCCCTCTTGGTCATTGGTCCCTTCCTCTTCTTGTCAAATGGTGAGGCATCACAACAAGGTCCATCACAGCCAACTTTGCCAACATCCTTCTGTTGGTGTCGCGAGTATATATTCTTCTTCTTTTGTGTCATATCTTTTAGGTCAATCACTATTCACTAACAAATATCAATATCTTTTGAGTGAATGGAATGCAAGCAGAAGCATAAAGCATAGTAAGTAAGTACAAGTACATCACATGATAGAATATCGTGAACAGAAGGAAGAGAGTGTGGTAACAACATACCCCATGATCTAGTTTGTAATATTGAGATCGGTGATCGCCACCAACTCATCATCATCTGTTGTTGATCTGTTATCTTCTACTGGGGCTCCACTATTACAGAGGTGTAAGGGCTGAGTGTTCTGATTGATCCATGTTGTAATAATGATAGTGGTGACACATGTGCATTGATGTATTATTATCTCTGTCCTCTATGTGTATCTGTCTCTGTCTTTGTTCAACTTTATTTATATATAATGTAATAGGAGTAACGATCAACAATCAATTGAGTGAGAATGAGTGAGCGATGGAGGAGTGAAGGTTATTGCAGCACTCACAACAAAATCATAAAATCATTCATGAAAATGATGATGAAGATCAAGACTCCTGCATTATTGTTAGTTTTGTTGTTGTTGTTGGACACTCAACCAACGCTCCAACAATCATTAGAGCCATCATCCGAACCGGATAAATTATTACAGCGCATTCTAAATAGCAACAGTAATAGCTTTACAGAGAATGTTGTCACCGAGAATGGTGTCAAAGCCTATAGGAGTGATTCGGCGCCAATGTGGTCCGAGCAACGACCTGAACCTCCGTCACATCCTTCGCCCTCATACACCGATCACAAAGAGTACATTGCTACAGCTACATCAACAGACCTAAAGCCAGTGTCCGCATCCGTCAAGGCCGGACATCTAAACCTCCACTTCAGGGCGCCATCAAACAAAAACATATCAATTCTATCATATGATCATCATTTGATCGCCAGCATCTCCGACATCAGCGCCCGCATTGACATCTCATCACATTGCATCCAATCTCTATACATAAGCGTTACCATTTATGATCGATTTGGTTCATACAACGAGGTGTTTCGATGCGAGCAGCCTGTCATCGGAGACTACCATGACTGTCTCTATGAACCTACATCAATCAAGTGTGGCAACTTCATATCGTCTCTGATGTACCTCGCAAAGACCCTCGTCTCCCTTGTTGGAATATTCATTGCTACCTCCTTCATTGTTCTCTTGTCACTCATGGTCGAATGCTGCCGACGAAGAAGAAACCAGCAACAAATTCATAACTATGATTACAGACAAACACACAATCATTTTGGTAATGACAGACAAGGGATCGCGAATGCTGCCAACATTCTATTTGGATCAATCATCATGATGGCAAAGTTTGCTGTGGTCATTGCTGCCGCCAGAAGTCCGCGGTCATGTGATCGCTCAGTTCAACTTGGACAAGGTRTGATAWGACKACCAATGACGGGAAGAGCAAGAAAAATAACGGACGATCATGAACAAACAAGAACAAGAAAGAGGCTTGGC